GACCCCAACACCAGATCCAGTACCCCTTTTAGTCAAGGAAAAATGAAGATCTGGAAGGTTAGAAGGTCTAAGAACCAGTACCACTCAAAATCCAAGTCCGCTAACAAGGAAAAACTAAGAACAAAAGCTCTATGATGTGCCCTGTTGGAGGATTTCTTGCCAGCAGAAATAGTAGTCATGCTATGTGTGGACATCTCTGGTGGGATTATCTAATATCATGGCCAAGTAAGACTTTCTACCAAATTAAAGCCTCCACACCAAAACCAATGAGTGGGCAGTTCAGCAGATCTGGCTCCAAAATCTAGATTAACACCAGGGGCAGTTCTTCGAGTGACAGATAACACTGCAAGTTCTTCAGTTCTGGTTTGACAAATACAATGACCACTACAACCATGTGCATTAAAGTGTCAATTTCAACACTATTGATAGCAATCCCTGCAACAACTCTCGAAGTAAAGGCTGAAAGGATGGAGCTCTCACCAAAGTCAAAAGTAAGGGATTAACTCACATTGAATCAAGGGATGATTTTAAAGCACTACCATTATGATTACAATCACAAGGAAGACAATTTGTTAAAGTGAAGAGATTCACCAATACAGTGTGAGGAGGAAGTACAACAGGTTCAGGAGGACCTTGCATGAACTCAGAAAGCTCTCACGAGAGCTAAGGAATATTTGCTAAACCACCACAGTTCTCAACAAAATTATTTATCTGCTTTCGAAGATTTGCTGTCAGGGAATATCTAGGTAACTCCCAATTCAGACACAGTAACTGTGTATATTTAGTAATTGTGAAGTTTTTATTTATTGTTGCATAGAGTATATAAATGTCTAGAATTAAGGTTTGGATTTGTTGAATGTACATACGCATTTACAGTTGTTTAGGTTTAAGGATTTCATATGCATTTGTACAGTATATATATACACCTGGAAAAAAGTTAAGCACCCCCAAATACTTTTCAGGATTGCTTATTGAAAATAAGGTTTAATTTTCATGATGTTGAGCAATGTTCATAATTTCAAACATAATTAAAAGGATGTGAGCGTTCAGGTGTGACATTTAAATCAGGCG